TAACGGCAGGATGTTGTAAATCAGAACTTAGATATCTGAAACACTGATATCGTCGTCTTTGTCCCGGTCTTTTGAAACCAATACTCAGACATAGTTTCGGCAGAAGCTGGTATATGAGGCTTTTCCATACTCCGAGTACATCTTTCCTTTAAACTACGAGGCCTTGAAAACACAATTCTTGCTCGGATTTTATTTTTATTCCAGGAAAGAACTTGAGAGCGCCCTCTAGAGCCGTTTTGAATTCCTCTCTGCGTCCCCTCTGTCCATAAAAGTATCACATACCGGTAACATGAAATCAAAACATCTATGAAAAATGTCAATTGCTTCTTGCCGATCGCTCTTGCGGTCGGTGACGTCAGGGGGTATTGTGTGTTATCCAATCACTGCCACATCCAGATTTTGGATGTGTCACACGGTTTGCTGAATGGTTTTGTGTCAGGCCTTCCTTTCTCTTCTCCCCCTCCCCCTCCCCCATCTAAAATCTCCTCTCCCCTAGCCCCTTAGGAAGGCCTGATACTCAGGCTATTGCTGTTAATTTCATTTTTTTTCAGCCCATTTCCAACCAAGCGCTTCTTTAAGCTAGGCTCCCCAGTAGTGATACACCGATTTTGAGTCCACCCAAATTTTCTGTCCGAGTTATTTCATTTAAGGGCCTCTAGCTGCATTTTTCAAATCTTACTTTGATTTATGATGCAATTTGCTTCCACAGTGCGACTTGACGCCTACTATTCGAATCATGTCTGCGATCCTAAATGCTGCAAATTCTTCTTTCAAGGTAACAGTGATATTTATAAATAAATATATAAATGAATGAAAGAATTACAAATTAAATAAATAAAGTGGAACCTCCGCGAGCGAGATTCCCAATATGCGGTCTTCTTTTCACATTTGTACGCCTCTCTAAAGGTGATGTTACACGGAATGATTCACAATGATTTCTTAATTTTTAGCGATGCACCGCGGGCCCTAACATTGTTGGGAGTTGTTGCATCCGTTTACACACCACTGCCAACACGCACGCAACAACTCCCAACATTGTTGCGCCAACAATGTTGGGAGTTGTTGCGTCCGTTTGCACGCAGCCTTATAACGCGGGCCTTTTTTCAAGCGATTTTATTTTGATTTTCCAACCTTAATGCAGTTGTTACCACGGGGCTCAGCTGATGTATAAACAATAATCCGCCAAGGTTTTTTCCGTTTGTTTTTTGGCAAAGTTACGACATTTTATCTTTAGTGATCATTTCATTTATTCTCATCACTTTCCGGTTGTTAAGCAGAGATGTGATAATGAAAAATTAGACTCCCGCCAATCCACGCCGAGACGAAGAGCAAATTTGGTTCCTAGGGTGTTCTTTTCCTCGGAAATTCTACTTTGATGATTATCAGATCTTTTGACTGATTGTAGGGAATTTTCTGGTTTACTTCATTTCAGATGTTATTGCCTTCGTTCGCCCAAGTGATCAGCTATGCCATCAATAAGTGCTCTTTTCAGCTGCAGGAATTGTTAGAACTGTGCGTGAAATGTACAGAGACTTTTCCAAAGGTTTGCCAGATTCTAATTTTCTGATGTTTTAATTTTTGTTTGTTTGAACTCAGACAATTAAAGAAGGGAAGTTAATGGCATTAGATCTAGAATTTGAAACATCTGCATGATTGCTTTTTGAGTTTATTTGTGTTGAATGTTGCCAAACAATGTTGAACGAAAACGGTATCGTTCGTATTCCATTTGATAAGTCGCCTCTTTGTGATTTGCGGGTCTAAAGTACAGGTCACTGCTCCATCGATGAATTACCAAACCACACAGATTCCCCTCGATCTAATAGAGCACTGATTTTGTTGAGAGATTAGGGCTAGGAGACACTTTTCATGTTGTTCATTTAACTGTATCATGGTGACCCTGTACTCTGACCTGTGGAAAAGTGACCTGTGTTTTAGTCCCGCCGTCTCTTAAGGGTACAACGGCCAACAAAAACGCGCAACTGGTTTGTTGCAAAACTAGTTGAATAGCCCGGATGTTGTGCGTTTTTAAGCCAAGTGTGAAAGCGAAGTCACTTACTGAGTTTGAAACATTAGTAAACTAATACCATATTTTGCGCTAAAGACATGGTCTGACTACTGTGCCCTTCCTAAACATCGTCCAGAACGTTCGCAGGGGACCCATATTCAAGCATGTTGAAGTAATCCAAATGCTTTTTGTGTGCTTCAATCTTGTAGGATCGTAATAAACTGTTTCTTACTCGAGCGGTGGTGTTGGAGCTTGTTCATGCGGTCAAGTTTCGTTCTTCCCTTCCGGACGCAAATCTTCAGTCCGTTTTACAGGTAAGTGGTTAGACATGTGTTCTCTTTAAATATTCATTCAATTATTGTTTTTGTTTGTGTTCAGTTTAAGCAGGGTGCATGTCTAACTCAGTAAGCTTTATATATAAAAAATGCAGAAAATGTTAAAATAAATTACACAAATAAGCTACGAAATTCACTGTATAGATCAAGGTGTGATGCCACGATCAAGAGTGTGCGAGCTGCGAGGACTCTAAACTTCAATCCCTGTCATTGGTTTCGCGGCTCCGTTTTCCGCCTAATAGTCACACTCTCAAAACAGAGGGCTGTTTGTTGATCACCCTCTTAAGTCCATCATCAGTACTAGATGGTCTTGGGTGGGGCTGGGGCCTAGTCATTCTTTCGTTACATTATCAGTTACTTTAAGCAACAACGACCGCGACGGCTACAAAAACGTCACTTAAAAAGAGAACTCGCACTACTTCAAACTTTTCGCTTTTATTCCATCTCGTTCAATTCGACAAATAATGGCGAATTTTTGTACGGTTGATTTTGTAAGGACTGTATCGAAGTTCAGGGAAAGAAAAAGAAAATTGTTGTTTGATGTGCACGTTCCCGCAAAACGTTAAAATCAGAGGAAGTCTCACGGTGAGCGCGTGCAACGACGGCAAAGAAATGTACAAAAAAGCGTGATGCACGTGCAAAGTTGTTGTTTTGCTAATCTAAACCTATTGCTTTTTTGCCGTTCTCGTTTTTTGTTCTCGCCTTTTCTTTCGCCGTCGTCGTTTCTTAAGCTGCGTATTGAAAGTCTGTTCACAGCCTACAACTCAGCAGTCGATCTCGAAAGTACGAGCGGACTGTGAAAAGCTTGTGGTGTTGTGTCGGTAGGGGAGTGAAAGACAAAGATTTTATTGTCAACTGAGTTGATAAGGTAGATTGGCCACCGTAAGGAGATAGAGGAGCTGACGTTTCCAACGATATCTCTTCCTATGACGGAGTGCTATAGCTCGAAAAGTCAGCTTCTTTATCTCCGTACAGTGGCCAATCTACTTTGTCAACTCAATAGTCAATCAAATCTTCGGGAATGGCCTACAAGCTGTTCTGTTCAGCAATATTTTCGTACTTTTGGCAGGGTAGCTGGGAATGTAGCGAGCGTTCTCTAAAACCACAATCCTCACAGTTTAATGTTAGAACGTTAACACTAGCATGACTTTGCCCTCCTTAGAAAGAGTCGTCCTTACAGGGACACATGCTTTGAGTAAGTTGATATTTCAGTGACTAACAAAGCCGGGAAATGCTCTTCATGGTGTAAAGGGGCCTTATGGCCTAAGCAGGTTAATTCCCCCTTTGTTTTAGTTTGTAGCTGTTGACGCAGGCAGTAGAATCAGTTTTGGAAGTGAATCAGACAAGGCGCCTTACGATCTTCCATTTGGGGTAAGAACTATGTGATTTCAGTTTCCCTTAGTAATGTGTTACTTCTGTCACATCCTGCTAACACCACGCTTTGTATCTTTTATTTTCTTTTAGTCACGCACTCGAGCGCTTGATTGCAACCGTCAGTATATTGTGGAAGCGGTGGAATTCATCAAAGACTGGAATTTTAGAGCAAAGTCAAATAAGGTACGGTGAAGTGATTTGAATTGCTCATTATGCAGGGCCGGCAAAGGAATTACCTGGCTTTATTTCTGAGTTATTTCAAGACCCTGAGTATTGGCCCGGACCCGGGGATTGAACTCTTGATCTGTTCCCTGCATTCAAGCTCTCTTCTGACTAAGGTCGACTAAGGTAGTCCTGCCGCGGTCGCTCTAGTCCTGTCACGCTTCTGAGGGTGACCAACATGCAGTCAGTGTATGCTTTAGCAGGATTATCAAGTAGAGCTGTCAGAGGTAATCAGATTCCAATTTTCCTCAACAGGAAAACCGACAGTTAAGTGAGCCAAATCTTCACCAAACGACTCTTCCGATTGACCTGAAAGCGAGCGTGGCACAGCTAGTGGCCTTAGAGCTTACCAAACATTCAGAGGACAGTAAGATACTTCAGAAAGCTCTGGCCTGGCTCAGAAGTCCTCCTACTGCAACACAATTGGGGTGCGTACATACTTACCCTCCCTACCCTTGATATTTTCAGGACAAAGCACTGACCTGCCTCGCCATCTGTAGTTATACCCAAGACCCAAGGAGGTGGGTGGGTGGGTGAGTGCGGGATGGGGTGTTGGGTGGGGAGTTTTTTCCTTGTACAGTAGAACCCCGTTACGATCACCAACGGGCCGTATTAATGGATGACTGCATTAACGAGGGTGTTTTTACAAGAAAATGTATGGCCGTTTTGCCATGCGGCTAAAAAAGTGACCATCATAACAAGGTGACCGTATTACCGAGGTGGCCGTAAGGCGAGGTTCCACTATATATATGAGCTAAATAAATGGGCGGTTGCATATTCCTCACTGCAGCGGTAAAAGTGCCTGTCTGGCCACAGCCCTGTACTATCGCGCAGATAAATACATTTTATATATTATATGTTATATATATATGGTGATTGGCTGACGAAAAGAACTTTTTTTCTTTATTACGAATGCTTTTTTTGGAATCAGTAGGGGAATTTACTTGTCATACTTATGATCTGTTCATTCTCCTATCTTAATTTGTTGAGCAATGTAAGTTGCTCACGATGTAAACTGGCCGACACGGGATTAAGATAAACTTAGTCTACAAAGTGCCAGTACTTTTAGCAACATGATCTGAACTGAACAGAAATTGTTTCTTTGTGGTCTAGCGTTTGTTTTATTCTTTTATGGTTAAAGAATTTCATTTGAGAAGCGTTGCGGCAGTTTTGGGAGAAGTTACCAGGTCATGATCATGTATCAGAGGCTTGTCGCTGCAAAGTTTTGCTTCAGTATTCACGTAACAGGGACATGTTTCTTTGTCATCTCCCCTGACGAACTGTTTCCAGTTGTTACACAGGAAGCCTCATCACACCAACACGCCCTAGCGAAAATTTTTTTCCCTAACATCTGGAGATGAATTTCGGCCGACGTGACGACAAATTTGTCCCAAAATTGTGTTGTATGATTTGAATTTAGGACCTCTTTGATTCTTTTCAGGCCTGTTTTCATGATTGAGAATAAAGTTTTGCCGTTGGTCGAAGTAAAAATTTGGAACGTACCGACACGTTTCAACGAGTTCTTAAGAACTCCTAAGTGCTTCCGGCCGTGGGTAAACAAATTACAATTTACGATTTTGTTTTTACAAAAACAGTGTTTCTTGACTAGATTGAAAATCGCAAGAGATTAGATACCGCAGGATGACGTCATAATCACCTGAACATCAGCAGCTGGTCACAACTAAAAGAACCAATCACTGAGCTCACAATGTCTCTTAGTTGTTTTATAAAATAAAACAAAAATTACTGATCCTCGTGTTACTCGGTTTCTACCGGTTTGAACCTTTCAACGATAAAAGCTAGCGGAAAATCTCCGGTTGAAGTTAATTTGTAAGCACAAGTCAAATCAAGTTTGTTTAAACGATGTCTGTAAGTGAAGCAAGCTTTTTCGAAAGTACTCCTTGGAAAGCAAAGACATCTTTAGAACGCAACGAATGTATGTGGAACAATCCATTGCTCTCCGATGTGGAATTTTTGTTTCGATCTCCAGACAGTGAAACCGTCGTTGTTCCGGCTCATAGCTTCATTCTAGCCACGAACAGTCCTGTTTTCTTCGAGAAGATGATGAAAAACACAAGACGTGAAAAAATGGTTATTGAAATCGCCGATTGCGAGCCAGAAATTTTCAGATTATTTCTCCATCACCTCTACAACGATGAACTGGAACTCTCAACAGACTGTTTACAAGACTTGACACGCTTAGCGATCAAATATTCTGTTTCAAGCTTGATTGGAAAATGTACAGACTTCGCTAAAAATGTTTTGAACTCTTGCAATGTTTTCACAATCTTGCAATGTGCCGAAATTTTAAAAGACACTAGTTTACAGCAAAGTTGTTGGGATCTCGTAGATTTGCATACTGTTAAAGTCATAATATCTGAAGATTTTTTGAAAATCAGCCAAGATTTAATGTTGAAACTTCTGCAAAGAGACTCTCTGCGAGTACGGGAAGTAGAACTATTTAATGCGTTTTGCAGATGGATAACGTTTCGAAATGGAAAGCAAAATAAAAATTCCCGTCAAAATTATGAACAAGAACTGAATTTGCCACTTGTGGATCAAATTCGCTTTCCTCTGATGTCGCAAAGAGAATTTGCTGAAAATGTTCCGCAAAAGGGCTTTCTCATTAAAGAGGACATCATAAACATGTTTTCGTATTTCTCTTCTACGTCCAACGTCGATGTCAGATTTTCAAGGAAACCAAGAACGGGCACACTAACTCGCTGTCGCTTGTTTCCCGAATCCCGCAAATGGTTCATGTATTCGGGAGCATGCCCGGAACATTTGACACTTTCAGTAAATTCTCCCATAATGTTCTGTGGCGTGCGAATGTTTGGTTCCGAAAGAGGAAGATATTCAGTCTCTTTAGAAATCTACGCTCAAAGTAAACCTTTGGATATTTTAGCAGTGAAGAAAGGCGTTTATGAATCAGAAAGTGAAGTACAAAAGGATTATTTCGGATTCGATGTGTTTTTGGATAAACCCGTCTTGTTGAAAAAATCCTTGCCGTATTCTTTGAAAGTATTATTGGAAGGTCCTCCGTCATGTTATGGTTGCCATGGCCACTCTGTGGTCGAATGTGGTGGAAAAACATTTACTTTTTATCGTGATAATTGCCCAATATTTTCCAGATTTCAGGCGGGACAATTTGCTGAAGTTATTTTTATGTAAATGCACTTCATATTCAAGTGATTTATTTAATTAAAGCCCGATAAAAAGCAATAAATACCGGAATGCTCATTCCTGACCTTGGAGGTTTCACAATTGGATAAATAACTCTTGTCACAAGATCTCTCAACCTTAGCGAACGGCAAGTGACCGCTTAAAGGAGGTTCATCAGAAATTAGCGTGATAATCTTTAGCAAAAAACGCTTGAGGGGAGAAGCATTACTGGTCCACAATCGGTCGTCACCTTCCATCTCAATCAGTATTATTCCTTCATAATATAAATATTCTTAAAGTGCAGCCAAATTAAGATTATCAGGAGCTTGATTCCCGCAATGAGAGAACTCTCGTTGAGACGGCCAAACGGTGGCCGTGGCTGCTTAATAGGGGTTTAATTTCCCATTTTTTTTCTCTAATTTTCTCGGGAGTTTGATTAGTAAAGATAGAGGCACTTTAAGAGACTTCTCTCCGTGACAAGAGGTATTCATTCAACGCTAAAGTGGCTACGTATTTCTTTGTTTGTTTATTTATTTGTTTGTCCAGAAGCATATAACCCTATATGTTTCTGGTTTGTCTATTTATTTTGTAAAACGTTCAGGCATAAAAGAAATATAAATAAACATTACACGTGGGTCTATACCTCACGTGATCGTCGTGCAACTTTCGTGATGGTGGATATGTTTTCTGACCTGTGCGTTGTTTTTCCGGTGTTCTAAAGTGAAATATACGATAAACATTATTCTCAGGTCAGTGGCGGATTTAGGGGGATCAAGGCCGGGGATCAGGGGGATCGGAAAGGGGGATCCGGCCTCCCCTTGTAGGACTCCCCTGTACTCTGAATGACCAATGCTTTCAAACTGAAGGTATTTCTTCTGAAGGATCCCATAAAAAAATCTAATCAGCTGACGTTCACCAAGATTGAACTCAAGTGTCAAGAAAGGCGGAAATTGATCATTTTCATTAAAATAGTTTCAACCGTGAGCACCTTGGAAGCATCCAGTGAAAAAAATTCTTACTTCCGCCCTTGTCTGCTTCTGTCCACAGGAGCCCGTCTTGTTCTTGATTGTCCTCAGATCAGGAGAAGGATACTGATTTATCTGTCAACAAACTTTTTCACCCTTGGGGCTGTTTACTAAAGTATCCGTTTTCCCTGCATCATTCACGCGTGAACAGTATCCGTAAACGCCCAAGATGGAATACCTGAACAAGTAACAAACGATTAAGATTAGAGTGAAAATGAAAATCCATGAAAAGTGTAATTTAAGCTGATAAATGAAAGAAGGAAGGAAACAGACTATGCGAGGCTGAACCCGTATCACTTAATCAAACAGAGGAAGGATTTTCGATTATTTCTCCCCTTAGTGAATAGTTCTTAGTCAACCTCCTTCCCAGGGCTCTCTCCTACGCCAGAGAGCACGAGTAGGAGAGGAGCATGGGAACGAAGTTGGTTCTTAGTTAGTGGCTTAAAAGGCAGATACCGTTAATTCCTTTGTTAAGCCCCCCTCCCTCTTAAATTAGCCCCCTCTCTCTCATATTTCACCCGTTGTCAGGGTAAGAAAGTTAATGCGCCCTCACTTTCTTTTAACCCTCCATCCCTTCTCCGTTATTATTCTTCACTACTAAAGGATACTATGAATTAATCACGATCTGGGATGGTTTATTCACCAACTGGAAGTTCGAATTTGTTTTGGATCCTCGTTTGCATGACCTTAACCTTCTTGTTCTTGAGCTTTTACACTTTGTATTATAGTTCATTATGGAGAACTGATACCATCGTCGTTTCTAAATTCAACATGCCGCCCCCCCCCCCTGCTCAAATTTGTTTGAAATAAATAACCCCTAAGCTTCTCTCCGTGTTTCATTTTTCTTGAAATTTCATACAATCCCGTTTAATCCCCACTTAAAAATATACACCTTTGTGATTTAGTTTCGTAGCCTTCCCACCTTTGTCAAGATTTCTTACGCTGAATTCCGTTATAACAAAAATCCCCCCCCCCCCCCCCCCTGCTCAAATGTGTTTGAAATAAATAACCCCTAAGCTTCTCTCCGTGTGTCAATTTTCTCGAAATTTCATAAAATCCCGTTTAATCTCCAGCTAAAAATATCCACCGTTGTGATTTAGGCTCGGAGCATTCCCACGTTTGTCAAGATGTCGTAAGCGGAATACCGTTAGAACAAAAAAAACTCTAAAAGCCGGTTGTAATTCGTTTATCTTTCAGAGGCAATTTACTCCCTTTCAAAGACGAACATTTACAACAACTAGCTCGGGCGACCCACTTCTTTCAATCTTGTGGGTAGTCGCATTTTTATGCGAGCACTCAGTTGTAAATGCGTAAAAACGAAGTGTTATCCAAACTCGGCTGTTTATGACGTCGCGATGGCCATATTGGTGTTTCAAACCAAATCTGTGGGAGTTTAAAACTCTAGTCTTATGTAAACGCTTCCTTTTATTCGAAATAAATTTGCATAGAGGCTGGCCACGTGAGTGAATACTCTCTCTTGTCTTTCCTTTTACTAGGCGTCAAGAGCTTCTCGATTGCGTGACTCACATCCGACTGTTAGCTTGGCTACTACACGGCTCCTTGTCGCACTTTGTCCACTCTAGAAATCCCCATGTGAACTGCCACCCGATCAAGTTTGAGGAGAACACGCATATTGCTGACTACGTGCTCATAATTCTGTTTAGCTTTGCAGAGCAGCTTAAGGTGAGAGTTTTGCCTTATTAAATTGAGATGATCCCGCGTTTTGTTGCGGTAGGGCGTGATCGCACCCCTCACGAAAGGTCGTTCCCATTATATTGGGACCGTAAGATCCGACGATGGCGACACGGTGGAAGCGTGGCTTAAAGAAGTGAATTCGCTGTATTTCAATCTTCAACGCGATTACTCTAACTCATTTACTGTGTCAAACGTAGTCGAACTCTCCTAAAGTTGAATATCTAACAACCATATCTAAGTTCAGAAATAATAGAAAATCTCGTCCTTGCTTGTTTATGTCTTCTATAAAACGAGGAATTAGGTATTTTCACGTTGTAGTGGTGCAATGATGGAAAATAAATGCACAAAAAAAACGTTATTCACGTGCAAAGTCGTTGTTTTACTTACTAATTCGGGATGGGCGAATAGTCTGTAGCCACAAAGCGTTTATGGCTTTGAACCACTTGTGGGGTATCAGTGTCACTCCGACATGTTGTGTTGTACTGTGGAAGTGGCTACAGGTTCTGCAGTGGGGGGAAAGGCTTAAAAAACAGGCGAGCGAAGCGAGCCGAGCTGGAGTCTGGGGAGAGGAATTAGGGCCCTTTCCCCTCCTTAGTCCACCGCTCGGCTCGCTTTGCTTGCCCTTTTTTTGTTTTGTTTTTGTTTTTTTTTTCTGTTTCACCCCAACTTTTGCCTTTTCTCCCCACTACGGAACGTGGTCCAAGGCCAGCTATAGATGGTTTCTGTGTTGTCGTTCGTCGCCATATGGCATGTTTGTAAGTGAAATTAAAATGTCTTCTTGCATAAAGAAAACAAACAACATGAAGGTGTTTTTTTAAAAAAATTGGTGAGGAGTATAGCGCGAGATCAAAAAATGTTTTAGTTGGTTTGGCGTGGAGCAAAACTATCGCAAACACGCATTACTTACAAAACCTTATATCATGTTTACCCTTTAAGTCGCAGGAGTGACCAACATCAATTTTCTCCCAACAGTATTAATACATATTTAAAAGAAAAGTTTATGAGAATGAATGATCACTAAGAGAAAATGCTTTGATCTTTGAACAAATTCTGAAATGTATGGAGATCAGTTTGGAGAATTTGTACGTAGATCCTGGGGCTTAACGGGTTAACAATATTGTCAAGCTGATGACTTGCCGGCATAACTGACGCCCGGTTTTTTTGGTGAGCGCGCGGTCGAACGAGCGGCGAAGTCGAGAGAGAAACGGGGAAGTGGCCTCTTTGCTGTTAGCGCGCTCGTTAGCAAGAAAATTGCCAGCTACACGGGATATATTACATTTAGTTTAACCTTTTTTTTTTTACTAATTAGGAACCGTTGAGTAAATCTGCCCTGTACCATGCGTTTAATGTATGTGAGGTGAGCAGGCATATTCTTTTTAATATTGAGAACTAAAATTTCCTTCGTGAAAATGTCTCTTTTAATTTGACCGATGACTTGATTCATGGTCAAATGGGCCCGGTGTAGTCAATCGAACCCAATCGATTTCCAAACGTTCGATTGACTTCGATTGGGTTCGGTACTCGAACTTAATCGTACTCACCCAAAAATTTTGCCAATCAAACACAATCGAACATAATAAAACACCGCAAGAATCGAACATAAAACCAGTTTCATCTGGTTTCAAACAAGGCGTCAAATAAGTTTAATATGTATACCGAGAATATAAACCTTACTGACCTTTTTTATTTTGAAGTTAAGGAATAATGTTTTGCTATTTGCGTTATTGTTATGTCTTTTACATTTAATGAAGCCTTGTCATGCCAAAAGTGTAGCTTGTATTGCCTCTGTAGTGCAACAACCCCGCAACAGCTTTTACAAACGTCGCGCTTGTAGTTTTGGGGTAATGAGAATACTGGTAGCGCTAGTAATGACTATATCCAGTTACGGTGTGCTTTTTATCGAAACCATATTGAAACTTTATCAAAGGTAAGGGTTCGACTTTTCTGGTTATATCCTAAGAATATCCCCGGTCGGTTTTGTTCCGAGAAAGAAATTTTAAATTGTTTTACTGTGCCGTTCATGTTTCCCAGTATTAATTGTGAATTTATCTATTATGAATCACTTTAACAACAAAGATTTTAGTTAATTTCAGGTTAGTTGAAATACTTTTTTTTTCAAAGTGCTTCGCATAGATTACATACTAGAGGGAGATCTTTGCGATTCAATTCAAACTGGATGCGTTTTGTCTTTCTGCCGAACAAAATCGAACTAAACGCGTCGATGAAGTTCGATTGGTTCGATTGAGTTCGGTAATCGAACTCACGAGCTCAATTAATCGAATTCACCGTAAAGTTCCGGTTTGATTATGTTCGATTACCGAACGAATCGAACAACAATCCGACCAATTGAGTTCGATTGATTTTTGGTTCGGTTTCGTTCGATTGACTACGCCGGTAATGGGGTGCAGCTGTTATACGCCAGGGAAGAGATATATCATGCAAATTTCTCATCATGTTTCTTTTTGGGTACTTGTATGTATTTGTTTTAGCTGTGGACTCTTTACTGTGATCATACGAAGAGTCCTGGTGAGCCCTCAACCCAAGCGACCTCGATTGTGATGGAATTCTGGGGAAAGGTGACTCCTGGAATGCTACATCTGCTAACGCAAGCGAAGGAGGTGGGTAATCGCATAAAAATAATCCACAATTCATTTCCAAATGAATGCTGACGGACAAAAATGTTTATATAGCCACCACTATGATAAGTTCAGTTTATGATCTCATGTAGCATGCGTGTTGGCTCGCTTCGATCCTTAGCCTTTCGAAGAGTAGAATAATCTCCCACGCAGTTATCAGACTTGTTCTTTGTGTCGTAACGCAAAATATGGTAAGGAGCGTTGCGTGTAGACACATAGAATCTGTGCGGAGGAGACTATTCGAGGAGCGAGAATCGCAAAAGCCCGTATCCTTTTGTGCAGCTATATATTGTCACCTCTCGGACGTGTTTGATACGTTTTACAAAGAAACTCTGAAGCCATTTTTCACACAACTGTCCTTTAAAATTCTCCAAAATTCGTAAGGTTCTTTAAATATTCAAGACTACTTTCTTCTTTTATTTCAGCTGACCCTGAGTGTGAGTCATCACTTCTTAAATTTAATAGAAGCTCTACAGGAGTGTAATTCTACTCCCCTCCCCATGGTAAGTACGTACTTTGCTCTCCCTTCCCCGAAGAGTCCTCTTTTGTGTCATTCGGGTGCTGAAGAGAGGAGAAGATTAACAATATCCGTGAAGTTCTCTTCTTTTCAAGGGCCCTGTAGAAAAGTTAGTTTCAGTATCCTGGAAGATGAGTTCTTTAAGCGGTCGAACTCCTGAGACATTTTCTTATTAGACAGCTTATAGTTAAATTAAATACGCACAGAAGAGGGGTGGAATCTGTGAACAAGTTTTGTCATCATTTTGGAGTGTCCCAAATTGACTTCTCCCCTAACCTTTGAAGTAAGCTCCAGTTAGCAATTTAATTTTGGGATACCCGACGCTATGAGCTATGAACTTTTCTCAAATTTTACAAAAATATAAAATGTTTTCGTGTATTTGAAGTAACCAAAGTTCAAACGCTTTTTTTCCTTAACAGCTGTATCCGATGTGGTATCCAATTCTGACGTACTGTTTCTCCCAAGGGGTGAGAATAAGCCTTGGAAGGTTGACTTAAGCCTGGGTAGCCGGCGGGATTGTTTTGCCCGGGCTACTTTATTGCCGGCGGAGAGGGCACGCGAAGTATAGTTAGTATGTCCCCTCTATAGTCTACTACTAACTATGCGCGAAGCGTGCGAGCTTCCAATCTTCTCGCGGCCAAAACTACAACACTCCTCCGTCCATCCCCCCGCTATGCAGGCTTGGTTAACTTAAATTGAGTTGTTTCGTTTTTCGTCTTTTTAAGTATAGGTAAAGGGATAGTAGATATCACATTATAAGATCTAAACTAGCTGAGGTTATGCACTTATAAAAGCCGCAACCGAGTCCTTTTGTGTACAAGCCCCTCCGTATTTGGGAGCTACCCTCAAACTCAATATAAATCGTATTTGCAATGCAAAAGACAAGTTTTGAACACGATAGATTTCCACTCTATGAAGTAAAAATATGCGTGAAATTTACCGTATGTGCCATAAATTTTATTGCTATTGTCTTTGAAGGTGACTTATTAAAAGGGAGATATAATTATACATTCTCATGCATTTCCAATTCATGCACCAACATTAGAAAACTGCCGGCACAAACTACTGTCCAATTGTAAGCTAAACGAATTTTGAAACGGAGATAGCCTTCCTAAGATAAGCCTCTTCGTGTAGAAGCCCCTCCGAACATAAGAAAGCCCTTACGCTTCACACTTTTTCACTGTGATTTACTATCTTCTTCATCATCATTTGCTGGCCTTTATTATGCCGCGAATAAGGCGCCTCCTAGGTTTAGAATCTCCAATATCCGATTTATGTTTTTACTGTCCTCTCAAATTCTTCATTTTCTCGTTCCAGCTCTCGGAAGCTGCACATGCGCGATTGCGCAAAGCCCAGTCTCGGCGACGGATCAACAAAGACACCAAGTCAGCACTGGCCAAGTGGCTCAAGCAACTGCAGTTCAAGATGGCGCTAGCTGAACAACAACCTGACGGCTCTTTGTTCATTTAAAGATGTATCCAAGTAATATTTTCTGAAGAGAAAACGATAGAAACTGTACCGGGGCTCGGAGAACGTTGCAAAACTTCAAGGTTGGTCAGAAAGCTCAGCCTTGTCTTGCGTCGTCAGGAGTCTTTTCTGCGTTTGTAAATCCCGATGAAACACTCTTTTTCGTGTTTCAAAATATCACATCCATCATCTTCAACTGAGGATTTGCATTCGAAACTGCAACAGTTGATTTTCGAGGGAAACGTTGGTTTCCCCTCCCTAACGCCACGAAAATAACCTTCTATAGTTTAATGAAGGGCGCATTTAGCGCATCGCGACAGACAGGATCTGTTTCGCGACACTATCCTTCTACATTGATAACGTTCTATCAACTCCCAGGTCGAAATTGAACTTGCGGGACGTATGCACCCGGCGTCACGACGGCAATGTTGGTGTACCCAAAAAAACAGACTTCTCCTAAAGGAACGGCGAGGGTAAAGGGAAGGGAAGTTGAAACAGTCAGTCACATCACATGTTTTATTAACTTTAAGCCCCGTTTCGATATAATCGTTCAGGTCGTTTCGATCGCCCAAATCGTAGCAAAATACGAGTCGAGACCATCCAGACGGCTATATGGAAACCATGATTTACAAACTCGAAAGTTTGAAAGAAGTTTGAAACTCGAGGGTTTGAAGCCGATTTCTTATTCATTCTATCTATAGCTTTATCTTTGGAAACTGTCACTCGCACCTTTGTTTTATTTACATTGAGTACGGGTTAAATATAAATAAAAAGCATGTAGTGTTACGAGCTGTTTGCTTTGGTTTATTGTAATGGAGAGTAAGGTATTCGTTAGTAAGTGTACTGCAAAGCAATCGTGGGTAATACTATAGAACTGTAACTTGATAGTTGTGAGTAGAGTAATGTGAATGCAAAAAATGATTCCCATCTATTGTCTACTGTTAGTCTACACCAGAATAAGTTAAGGGCCCTAAAAACCGAAAGTTGGATTTGGAATCAAACCTTTCAGTCCTATCCGAGTCCCAGACAAAGTAACTATTTCGATTTCGAGGCATTTCATCTCCAAATCGTCATTTTGATTGTATCTTCGCTAAGTATCATCAAACCAATAACAACGAAATTTTTCTTTCTGTGTCTTTTTCAAGGAGACTAAACTAGAGGAAAAGATGTTTAACAATCAAGTACACACTAATAAACAAACAAATGCAAAAATATGTACCATTTTAAATTTGTAAAGTTATCGAATTGTTGGCATGCTTTTACTCAATGAAATGTAAATTTCCAAGCTCTATCAATTATATTTTCCTTTGTTTGAAACTCATCATCAAACATTACCACAGCCAAAAAATTTAAACCAAGGCTGGTAAAATTGAAACAGAAGACAATAAGAGAAAAAAAAAACTAGAATAACGATCTTTAAGTCTAAATCAATAACAAAGCCTATTTTTCAAAGTCCATGAACACAAATGTGAGTGTACTACAAAGTAAAAAACGATGAAAAATAAAAACGATGCATAACTGTCCTTCACTTTCTATTTATATACAAGCCTTAGACGCAAACATTCTTTGGCTTTTCACGCAACTTACAAAGTTTCGTCGAGAGGAAAAGAACCTAAGTTTCTCTGCCAACTCTCTTTCTACCCCATAATCCGTACAAATTTATTGACGATGCAAGGTAGTTGTGATTCAATTACGGTATGTAAGATGGAATTTAGCATAAATTGCCAAGGCGACTCTGACCATCTTTTAACCACGCGACTGTCTGACGCACTGACTTAACGACGGATTTGAAAACGACCAATCAATTTGCCCTGCCACCCAAGTAGCCCCGAGAAATTAACTTAGTCTTGCTGAGGGTCAAGAAAATTGTGGCAGCAACCCAACTTGAAGGTGTCAACCGAGAATTTTCAGAAGAATTCCTGGTAGCGGCAACTCGAGGAAAAATACGCCAAAAAATACGGGAGTTAAACTACGATGCTCTGTGTACGTCATGGTAAATAAAGTAAAAGTATTGCTGTTTTCATTTGCAAATGGGGAGAGCTGATTTGTTGATGGGACACTTGTCAGTCATCTTGGAGGATAGCAAGTTATCATTTCCTCCTTGTTTCCCTTCGCCATAAGGGCCGTCCACCGTAGTCCTCAGGAAAAGGCCCTTGTAACCTATTAATTAACACAAATTTATGGATTAGTTTTTTTTTACCTTTAAAGTGTTTACCTGATTTTAATCTCCTGGGTCCAGTTGTTCGAAGGCCGATTAGCGCTTAACCCGGGGTTAAATGAAACCCAGGTTTCTTTTTCTTGTGTTCAAAAGCATTTTCTCGGATAATTTTCTGTATTATTTTTAGAGCTTCCAATCATCAACTTGTAGACAAAAAGAATTAAAAGTGAAATGCTTTTTAAGGTTTCAAACCCGAATTCAAATCTCGCACTAACCAAGGGTTATCTTAACCCAGCTTTGAACAACTCGACCCTAACGTCTAAGTTACCAGTTATTTACTATGAACACAAAGTATTAAGGAAACGAATCAAAATAAAGGATCAAGAATAATTATTTTCCACTGTCGAAAAATTAATGACTTTCTATGATGGTCATTAATAATAATAATGTATAAGTCTATACAGCGCTTATTACAAAGTTTCTAAGAGCTATACCATTCTATGAAGCTAAAAAAGCTACAAAGATAATATTTAAAAATTGCAAACAGGTTACCAAATTATGGTATGGTTCAAGGAGCACATTCAATACGTCTTCCTTATCAGTAGAAAGATCTGTCACATTTCAAGTCTCAGTGATCCGCCGGTAGACTGTGAAGCCAAAGAACGCTCGAAGTGCATGACTATATTCCTTCGCTTAAGGTGGCTCCGTCATAAATACAGGCCTATAGAGGTATGACGAACTTTTCGCAGGTTTTTGCAGGTATGGGTATCATTGTCGTTCGTTCCCTTGGGCGAGGTACGAATTCTTTGCAGAACTGCCGCCCGTGGTCATTTTGTACTCATAAATGAAGGTGCTCGACAGTTCTATTTGATCTTTGATACAAGGTAGCTTGCAATCCTTATACCTTTTTCTTGAGTTTAAAGCAACGTACAGCAGTAAAAGCCGCCGAAGGTGCATTGCAATACATCAAAATGCATGTATGTAGCAGGGGTTTCAGCCAAAACTGCTAAGAGATATTTTAAAAATGTCGAGGAACAAGTCATTTGACTTCAGAGCAAAGTTTGGAGCAATTTATAGTGCTGCTAGAGCTAAAGAATACCTTTTAAAGAATAACATTATTAGCATCCGGCCTTTGTTTTCAGAATAAGGATACACTGCAATTTCTTGTGCAGCAAATTCGAACTACTGACTCGTTCTACCTCAGAGCAATTTGGTTTTGAAATTCTAAAACAATTTCACAGCCGAATTTTGAACGACTTTCTTGTTACGGACTTTTGCTCCAATGATTTCTGTGAAATTTATCTGGCATACCGTATTCATTATATCAATAAAAGCCGATACCAGAAATTTCAGCCAAAAATATCAGCAAAAGTTTTTAATAATAATTATAATATCTATGGCTCTTTTGCGCATTTAACATTAAAAGATATCATCAAATGCGCATAACACTCGAATAAAACTGAAACAAAAGTTATATTACATACTCTCTATATACTAAAGCTTAATCATTTGTTACATTTCCTTCCTAGTAGGTAACTCAGCATAACCTATAACAAGTAAGAAGTACAAAGTAGAAAATAAAAACCTACGATGACTCAAGACAGGTCGCTATAGGCCTCTTTAAAATAGTGCGTCTTAATGAGTCTCTTAAATCGCGTCTTTTACTAGACGCGATTTTCTTTGAACAGTAGGGTCCTTTTAAGCGCTAATTTCGCAAAAGATATTAAATAGCTGTGAAGTCAGAATATTTTATAGTATTGCCGAATGCCATACCTGTTGTTCTTTGCAACGTTTGGCAGCCATCGCGTTAAAAATGGAAAAGTTATTACGAAAAGCTCGTCATAGCTCAATGCCCCTGTATTAATGACGGAGCCACCTTAACACGCACCTTTAGGCATTTCCACAATCACCGTTTGCATTTCGTATCGTACGCTTTATTTGTTCCTGTTGTGTCAAAGAGTTTGTTTTTCTGTGTACGTCTCGTCAATTTCCTTTATTTTGAAATTTTACTCGTTAATTTCTTTTTGGGGATAGTTTTTCCTTCAATGCACGTTAATTTAAGCGTTAACTTCCTATAATAAAGTACTCTCTTTCGATTAAAACGCCCTCGCTAGACTCCTATGATTGGTTTTTCCACAATAGTCTTATACAAATGCTCCTGAACAGTACTTTCAAAACATTATTTAGGGTTTGTAGGTCCTTTTTTCAAAAAAAACTTACGTTGAATTTCTCATTGGAGGTCTACCTCCGGGAGAGATGGAAGGCTGAAACCCCATTTGGTTTGGATTGAATCCAGGAAACCATCGATCCGACCATCCATACACTTCTGGGTTGGGTCTTTCTTGAAACATGCGTGGATCAACTGAAGCTGAAGTGGAAGGAAAGCTTCCCTGAAAGACAAATATGGAAAATAAACAAATATGGATCTGTTTTTTTCCTTACTCGAAAGACGACTTGTAAAAGTATGGCCACGTCATTTTAACCCGATGGCTGGGAATCAAAGACGGCTAAGGAAGATCTTTCAGAATGAAAATAGCCAAAAAGAAACCAAACAAAAATAAAATAAAACAACCTTTTAAAATTACAGCATCGTCCAACTGGTCGTAGGGGGGTATAGGGGATCAGGGACGGCAATAAGGGAGATGGGTTCAGGGATCACAGCAGTGGGATCGTGATCACAAGCTGCAGGGGGATCAAGGTCAGTAGTGCTGCAAGGGGAAAAGTAAACCGGTTTTCTGTCGAAGATAACAACAAATGCCACAAATTAAAATGGTTTTTGTTTCAGTCGAGTTATCATGGAATAACAGCCCATCCTGATAGCTCCTTTGCTGATTACACTTTTCTACACAAGTGATCACGGTCTGTGACACATGAGCCTGCGTCGAAGGCTGGTGACACATGGAATAAAACTTCTAGGGTGGGACAATGTCATGAGTTGAATTTCACAATTTCCACAACTTTTAAATCAGGCTAATTACGGTAAAAATCCGAAAATAAGCACCTCCAAATCAAGGTGCCCAAATTTAAAACGCAAAAAACCTTCTATAAATATATTTTTGAAAGGTTATATTTTGCTTATCATTAGCAGACTGAAAAAATTCTGACACAAATCACCCTTCAATTGTAAACCCAGCCGGCTTTAAAATGCTTATTATATAATAAGGATCAGCCAACATAAACCTCTCTAAAAAGGTCTGAAAAATATAACCCCGGAGCGTATTTTCGGAATTTTACGTTATATGGTATATTAGAAGTACATATAAAGAAGCTTACTACGTCTGAGTTAGGTCTTTCTCGAAACGGGCGTGAACCAAGTGAAGCTGAAGTGGAGGGAAAGTTTCCCTGAAAGACAAATATAGATAGTAAACAAGCAGAACAAACGAGAAAGCTGGCTAGGGGAAGTTAAAAAGAAGAGGGGATTTAAAGGGTTTATTTAACTTTTTTACTTTTCTGGCTGCTGCTATTCAGAGAGACTTTATGATTCCCCAGTCATTTTCGACTCATTGCCTTTTGCGTACAGGAATCAGAAAAAAATCGGCCAGCTTAATAGCCTGAAACGATACCCGCCCGCGCAGAAATGAACAAGACTTCATTTTCGGTCGACAGCTTTTGTTAGTTTTCAATTTTTATCCGGATTCATAGCCTCACAATTGGGGTGTTAGATCTTGATCTTTAATACAGTGCTTGTTGTGATCCATCTATAGAGAATTTTTGATCTGCCATCGAATTTCTTATCTCCTTCGGGTGTTGTTTTTTTGTTTAGGACTTAGAAATCTGCTTCGTTGTATTCAAGAATAAAGACAGAGAATTTAGCCAAAGGATTGTTTCCTCTCCCACTTGAAAAGAATTTCTTCGAATGTAACTTCGATCAACATCGCGAGAGGGTCACCAATGTGTGATGAAAGGTTCCGCAAAAGACGACTTTTTGACGTTTCCTGACGTTCTTCATGCAAAACGATCCTAATTGTCAGCACATCATGCCAGCTACTAGCTGCATAGTTTTGGTTAGTTTGAAGACTGAAGAATTGGGAAACAAAACCAGCACACCACTAGATAAGACTACATGCTGTAATCATAGCCCCCGGGGGAGGTACTCCCACAAATTTCGGATAGGTGCATGTGTGCCGCCAGCGTCTTGATAAGGAGGAGACAAACGAAAATTGATTCTCTTTTTAAGGTGGCCCGAACCTATTTATATGCGCGTTGGTTATATTTTTGAATCTTGTTTTTCGGCAGGAACGATTTAACCGATTTCTATGATTTTTGGCATCCTTATAATAAAAAATGGTAGAACTTAAAGAAAATGTTATTTATTTTCTTGTAAGAATAAAAGCGTTTGAGATATCCGCATATATTTAAAACAGCATTTGTACAAAAAGCATTAATAACCTCGAAACCCTACGACAGATTTTTCTCTAAATCCAGCAAATAAGCCTCAGAGCTCTCTAGTTTTATATCTGCAAGTTTGAAGTCAATCATGACCGTAGAACTCACTGCACAAAATACTGCTCAAATTAACCTCTTCTTAGAGTAAGCGTGCCGACGGACTATCGCCTATCTGCAAGGGTATTCCTACCCAAAGCTTTACTGCAAAAAAAACTGAATAATCAGAAACCTACGGCGATATTACAGTTCGCAATACAAGAGGAACAACGTAATGCTGAATGCGGGGCAAGATTAAAGAACTTCCATCCATCAAACTTACTTTGTATCTGTCTGTCTCTTGTGGTAACCAATGTTAAGAAAGCAAAATATAGCATCTACGAGAAACTCTCAACAGTTTTAGCGTCGCAGGTTTCCGTTTTGAGGAGAAACAAAGCCACCAACTTCAACCCAGTGGCGGATCCAGAGGAGATGCTCGGGCCCCCCCTTATTTTTAGACCAAACAAAAATTTTTTTTTGGTGACCACCCCCCCCCCCCCCCCCCCCCCCCACCGCCCTCGCCCCCCGCCCCCCCCCCCCCCCACCCGACGGGCGCGCGCGCCACCCACGCGGCGCGAGACGCGACACACAGACCACACCCCAACCCCCACGCGCGACACCTTCCCACCGTGGACCATAATCANAGAATGAATGTTAGAAGTACTTTCTTTTTCATGTATTTTCCTGGGTCGATTTCTTTTTGTTAAAACTGTGGTACCGAACAGATTTGAATTCCGCACTTCGAGCGGCTCAGTGTTCACCACAACTGCTAAATAACTGGAATTTATTGAATTTCTGCTTCCTGTAAACTGCTTAATAAGTTTGTTTGGTTAGCACTGGTTAGCACTGTTAAACGGTCGACCTTGCAGCTCTCGGAAGACCTCACTGGATTGATTGGAAAAACAATGAACAAACAAAGTTAACAATGGAACCTACAATCGGCGACAAAATGAGTTGAGACACTTCGCCCAAAAGTAGGCTTTTTTACGTTTTATGAACTTCAAAAGGAGGAAATATAGCTTTCCTCCCCCATCCCCTCCGTACAATGTTGTGACCTTGTTCTAGCTACCTATAGAAAACAACAAACACCCCAAATTTGAATGGAGGGGACAGGGGAGGGGTGCGGATTCTTTTGTTCTCCGAAGTCACCCTATTTAAGTACAATGTCTCAACAATTTTGTCGCCGATTGTAGCTCGAAAACAAGAGAGCTGCGACTTAAAGCAAGGTTCCCAAGTGTTGAAAGGCTACTGTGTGAAAACCCTTGTATGATATCATTCGTTTTGTGACTGAGGTCTACTGTTCACATCCCTGCTGCATGCTCTTACGCCTTTGTTGTTAAAATTATAACTCTTGTAACGTACAATTGCAGATAATTGATGATCCGCCGAAAAAAAAAAAAACAGAAAATTTGCAATTTAATTTTCAGTCCACTACTTTTACGGGCTTAGAAGTTGCCTTGTGAATTGTAAATTTGGAAAAAATCTCGCTCTAAAGCAAAGATTACCTGTTGAACTGCCTGGACAACTGGAATCAACAAGTCAATTTGTTTCGCAACACACCCTCTGTCGTTCTGTTCAACACGAAAGTGCACTCTGTCACCGATGTTTAACTGCCTGATCGTGCAACCCTTAAGGTCCGACTCGTGAAAGAAAATTCCTGTAAGGTTCCTTTCTCTGGGAAAATCCTGAGTAATGAAACCATGTCGCTTTTTAAGAAAGCCAATAAAGCCTTCTTGTATTCCTTTTCCAACTGAATCTTCCCAACCACACTTGTATTGGACTTGCTTTGCCTCGGGGTGCTGTTCAAAAAAGCAACCAAAATATTAATTGGTTCCGGTTCTTGGGACAAAAAACGAGAAAAGCCACTGGGTGTGTACAGTTTAATATAGGGGAGGGAGGGTAAACCTGGCACCAGCACACTGCTTTTTTGTGCGACGTGTTTACAAGGCACCAGACATAACTAATCGATGATGAATGACATCAATGAGTAATCGATGAGTTATCATTATCAGGTAATCAACTGATTAGTTATTGATTATTCGCTATGATCAATTGGTAATCTTTGACTAATCGATGGCCAAAAATTTTGTGGCTATCTATTACTCATTGATGTCATCGATGAGTTATTGTGCGTTCGATTGCCCATCGATTATCTAATGATTATCCATCTCATATACTTTCTAGCAATTTTTTTCTTAACTTATTTCCGTTGATAAAAATTTACGTTAATGATTCTTGACGATAATAATAGCCAAATAGAAATTGAATTTGCATGTAGAAAACCAATGTAAATAGGCCATGGTTACTGTCCAGTAAATAATTTTGACTTGCCGCTTTGTTTTCGTCATGGCCTATATAAATTGGTTAGTCTAGATGCAAATTCAATTCCTATTTGGCTATTATTATCGTCAAGAAACATTAACGTGAATTTTTATAACTCGACCTTCTAAACATTTCAGAAACGAAACGTTCAGAAGGTCAAGTTATCTGTCTTACTCTCTCGGCTATTAGAGACTGTGTCTTTGTTGAGAAACAGCCACCGCAGAGTGCCTACCGGGTAAAAGATTTCAGCGTCTAAGGTGGTTGTTTCGATTTATCCAGATTTGTGGAAACTATAGTTGGAAGTCTCATGCAGTGGTTGTTTCTCAGCAAAGAACTGCTGCTTCGACTTAGGAAGGCTTTCGTCATAAGCAGCGGCATTGATCCATGACTACAGTAGCTGAAACAATAAGTAAACTGTTCTAGCCCTAATGTTGTTCGGCTTGCTGCGAGATTATAATAACTAGTCAATCACTAATCGATGACTGAAAATTTTGCGGCCTATCTATTATTCATCGATTACTCATTGAATATCGGAAATGATCAAAGTCTATCAACTGATTTAGTTGGTGTTCTCGGTTGCAACCGGGGTTGCAGCTATAGTAATAACAAGAGCAAGTAGTCAGACGCCATTCAGAATAACAACAAAAATAGATTTGCAATTTACCTTAAGACGGACAATGGTTGATTCAGCGAAAGAAAAACTTCAAAGGCAAGTCTTTTTAAGGCAAGATTTGTTTACGCGCAGGCAGATGGCAGCATACATCAACTCGTGTATAGTACCGATGACTGACTCAATCGAAGAGAAATGGAAATGTTTTCTCCTTTAATTATATATTATAAGAGAAATGGTAAACGTTGTAGATTTGCAACCATCGATTTGTGGATGCTCTTGGGGGGTTTGCTAAGCACTCAAGAAGCTAGAGTTGCACTCGGCTATCACCTCGTGCGACTCTTACGCTTCTTTCGTGCTTAGTAACCTAGTTTACCATTTCTTAACTGTTACACGCGAAGTCACACTTTGGGAAGAAAGAAGCGTTTAAGCCGTTCAGCGGATTTTCAAATGAAATTCAAACACCCTTGTGTAAGCAGGACATAAAATGAATAATTTCCAAGATGGCAGCAAATGTTTACTTCGATGAGGAAGGTTATAAACCTCTGTTCGTCGGTATTTCTCGCTCTCACATATTTAACCGAATGATTTTTTTCGTTTATATTTGTATTTACTGGGAAACGCGAATTATGGCTTTTTTAAAAGCCTTTTAAGTCAAGCTTCTGAAGCTTGGTTGAGCAGAGCGAGACTCTTAAAATGCAGTCGTTTTTTTTCGTCGGTGGGACCTAGTTTGTAGGCCCCGCGTTCCTAGCGAAGACCGTGGAAACTGGGGATAAGAATCGTGACGACTTTCATCGTATGGAAATGAGTCTCGTGATGAGAATGCAGTTTATTTTCGGCGATGACTGAAATAACGCATGTAAGTTTGGCAATGACGTAATTTTCCTCGAATGGACATACAGGCACTTTTTAAAAAGGAAATATCCCCAAGCAGGATGAGAAAATATTATAGCGGGGAAATCCGGATTTTGTGGCTTTTTAAGGCGTTACGTTTCTCAGAATATTGTCGTAATTACAGGAAATGTACGGTTAAATAGATTCACTTTGTTT